ATACCTACGTGAAACGTTTGATACCTACGTTTTTGTTAAACAATTTAGTAATTTTACAAAAAACGGTGTATAAAAGTCTCTAAAACGATTTTAATAACCAATTTTTAATAACCTACATATGACGTTGTTTTAACGTTGTTTAACATTGTTTAGCGAACGCTGGCAAAACGTTCGTTCCCAACGTTTTCGCTGATGTATCTTGCAACAATACCAGAAAACTATAGGAACCTACTTATAACCTTATTATTAACGCTTTGAAAACGTTAAACGAATAATTTCTTTTAAACGAATCAGTATGCACCCAAATCTTAACGTTGCGAAAACGTTGTGTAATAGCTGCGCAGCATGGTGCGGGAACCAAGGACGTTGTTGGCCCGACCAGACCTATATGTGGATACTATTACATAGGCAATAGCCAACGGTTAACGACCTACAACGCCAAGAAAGCGTGGCTTTGTCTACCTATAGTTAAAATAAGTTTTCTACGTCCCTGAAGTATATGGCTGTTTCTCATAAATTGCTTTCCTGGTTTTTATGAAAAATTCACTGCATTGCATGCATGAAACCCCAATGCCTTTAAATGAAGAATAACGGCGTGTAGTATTTGAAATTCAGTATAATTCAGAATTTTGTCATTGACTCACATAAAAATGGGTTATCACGCACAGCGCCATTTGACCCCCCCCCGAGCGCTCTTTGAATCCGTCTCCTCTTGGAAGTATTGGCACGTATGTGCATGTTCGTGTAATTGTTTGTGCGTGCGCATGGCTGTGTCTGCCTGTGTACGTGCGCGCGTGCGTGCGTGCGTGCGTGCGCGTGGCTGTGTCTACCTGTGTACGTTCTCGCGTGTGTGGGTGCGCGTGGCGGTGTCTGTCTGTGTATGTGCTCGCGTGCGTGCGCGTGGTTGTGTCTGTCTGTGTACGTGCTCGCGTGCGTGCGTGGCTGCTTCTGCCTGTGTACGTGCTCGCGTGCGTGTGTGCGTGCGCGTGGCTGAGTCTGTCTGTGTACGTGCTCGCGTGCGTGGTGACCACCGTGGGGATGATGGCGACAGCAAAACTTTACTGGGAAAATTGGAATTGTGAAAAAAGCTGCAAAAGAGTTGTAACTCAATTACATAATTTAACCCATGCATCAGGTGCTATTATGTACAGCAGCGCTTGGAAATAATTAATTGGTATACGTGTACTATTGTTAGCACAACAGAGGGGGTGGCTAGCCACCCAATCCACCCGGCCTGGATCCGCTACTGACCCATGCATTCAATCACAAACTGGTTATTGCTCTGAGATAGGTGCTAGGTATTTGTAGTATACTAAAAGTCTTCTTATTATAAGCCTAACAATGGGTGTCAAACTTGAAAGCTGTGAAAGCAACAGTCGAATTGACAATAGTGTAGGACAATAACCATGTGCTACGAGTGTGACAGACCTGTGTGCGACTAATGAATGTGAACTCACAAGAACTTATAAGTACTATAACGTATATTAGCCTACTTAGGCTACATATTTCCATATGTCAAAAATCAGCAGCTCTAATCACTTACCGATCAACATGTAGGTAATACTGTCAGGAAGGCAACCGTTTAGTCTTGCTTATCTATTATAATAGCCTTCTTTAGGCATCTTAATTGCTAGAAGCACTTTCATGAATGTATTTCGTTTACTAATTCAAATCAAGCTAGTCCAGAGAGCACTAGATTAACCTGCGCCAGTCTGCAAATTTTCACGTCTCTATATCTTCCGTGAACGGAAATATTGCTAAGTTTGTCTCTGAATTTATACAAATACTAGCTGCTGGTACCCGCTGCGCTGGTAAATCGTGCTACTAATTTCATACTACTAATATGGGACACAATAGCGAACATTGGTAAAAATCGACAATAACATTGCACACAATATGAATATTATAGAAATCATCTAATAGATAATAGGCACGCGAGAAAAACTGTATACGGTAGGGACATTTCATATGACAGCACAACCCAACTTGAACCCCTGAACATAATAGTAATAGTGGGTGCCAAATGAGGAAAAAGTTATTATAACAGCATGATTCCAATGGCTTGCATGTTTTCATTTGAAACCTCTTGATAAACAATGGTTGACCGTGTAATTGTGTGGCTGGAAATATGTATGAGATTGCTGGCGTCTCGAACTGTTGAGGCTCACCACGTACACTATCCATTGTGAAGATGTAGGAATGATAAACGAAATTGGTATATAGTAAGCATAGAGACAGGCCAGCATGGGGTCTGTGTCCATTGGATCTGTCTAATGCCAAACCCAATCTGAATGCTTGTGGAACGCTGCGGCCTAACGTTATAATAAATAAGCTTTATCCAAATGAATATGAAGAAATTTTCTAGCAACTGCCATATCAGTTAAATAGGCAAATCTGATTCTATTCTGCATGGGGTGACAAAGTGTGTCATAGTTCTGAATGGATTGAAATCGTAGCGGTGCTGTCAATGTGAATAATAATAAATACATAAGTTAAAGTTCTTTACCGTGATATAAGGTATACAGACAGACGCCATGTCTGTAATATTGGTTTTGAAATTGTATCAAATTACAAAAGAATGCTTTACTCACTTGTTAATCGCAGCTCTTTGATGCTGTTGATGTTCTTGAGCAATCAGTGAACCTCTCAAACTATATAATACTCATTACTAACGATATAGTTGCAATCTCTTATAAATATTTAAAATCAGTGTAATCATAAATAAGCATGGTAAAAAACGGTTACGTATGACATTTATATGACAGCACAACCCAAGGTAGAGACCCTGGAACATAACTAGTTTATGGTGTAAATAAGAAAAAAGTTATTGTAAACAGCAA